AATTAAACTGCAAATAATATTCGTTTTGTAAGTCCACAATTTCAGGAAGGTTTATCAAGTTTAATGAATCACCATTTTCAACGTTTTATATATTTTAATCTATTATTATATAAATAAATCTTTAAAATAAATGATAGTGCTCGAATAAACGCAAGCGTAAGTTAATACAATTAATTAATTGTAATTCGAATTTAAATTTTGATGTTCCTTGAAAAGTTTATAAAGTATTTTAATGTTCGAAATACTTTAAATGTAAATAGATGTAATGAAATATGTTTCTTATATAACAAAAAATTATAAGTTATATTGACCACTTGAAAATTATATACTTACTTAATTAATTGTGATAGAATAAAAATAAGAAAATAATAACCTTTATTGTAATAATCAATAAATTTAACAATCATAAACATATATTTATAACTCTAACCATAACAAAAATAACTTTGCAAAGAACTACCACTACAACTTTGCAATTAGGGTTGTTACATAAATAATTACAAACAAAAAAGTATGAAATAAAAGTTTATATCATTTATTTCTAACGACTGTCGATTTTTACGCTGAAGAAAATATATATAAAAAAGGATATTTTAAACGAGAATAGAATGTTAATGTATATTAGACATTATATCAAATTTGCGTATTTGTAACATGTGGTTAGTTTTAAAGATGATTCTTAAAAATAATGTTATTAGAGCAGATTAAGTTGATGCAACTATTAGAGTTGGAAACTACCTTTTGCGTAACGAGCAACCTGAAAATCTTATTTTCTCGTTCATTTATCTAATATGAAGCTGTTTCGGTATTTTTTTTTTGAAGAGTCATAATGATGAATAATAAAATAAAAAACTTTCCCCTCTCTCGCATCGTGCGTCAATTAGAGGAAGTTTTAAAAGCTTTTCATCCGACTGATGATGATATGGTGTAATTTACGTGTTAGATGAAAGATAATAATTAGTAAAAGCTCACGTACCATTCTTTGGAGGTACCGTTTCGTCGGCGTTTGTTTCTTTTGTAAGGAGGGTCTCTCATCGCTCGTATTTATTTATTCGCCGATTGTTGGGATAGAATTGTTGGTGGAGGCGGGCGGGCGGTCGGTTAGGAGGCTGTGTCGGTGGCAGAGGCGGTGGCGGCGACGGCGGTTACGGCAGCGATGGTCGGCAATCGTTGGCTTCTTCGGCCCGGCGGTTCGGGATCTGTCAAGGTAACTTTAGGCGCCGGGCCCGTTTGATCAATTCGGCTGTTGACCCTCGGCGTCGAGCATGCAGACCATCTGACGCCTGTACCGGTGCTAAACCGCCCCCAAACGTCGGACGACCACGCGTTTCACCAGCTCCACGTCCAGAGCACTAGGAAAACGACCGGGCCGACCGGAAAAACGCGAAAAACAAGCCGGTTCCGGCAAAATGTGGTTAAGTCCAACACACGTGCGTCCTCCCGTTTCCTTCACCTCTCCAACCTCCTCCTACCGCCACGTCCTTCTCTTCTTATTTTCTGGCCCCGAAGACTAATTGCGTACCCTTTTAATTTCCGCATTGCGTTGCATAACTTCCATGACCAAAAAAAAAAGTAAAGAAATGCCAAAAATATATTTCACAATTACAACACTCTAGAATAATACGTAGATGCATGCATTCTCAAGACAAACTCAACGTAATTGGTCCTTTGATTCCATGCACTCGTCGGATTCTGACATGCTGTTTGTTTATTTATTTATATTTGTTATTTTTTTAACCGTGTCGAACACTTAGTTCCTTTACGCCCCAGGTAATAAATTTCTTCTTTTGAATGCGAACATCGTAATTGCCTCATAACAGAGACCTTAAACTTAATTAGATTTCGATTCGGCGCGCTTAATATAACGCAGGTTTGAACTTTAATTAAGCGAATTATGAGCGCGAACATTTTTCGTCCGCCAATTGCGGAGAGGCTTGTCACTGTTTCGCGCGTTGCCTTTTCATTTTCAAATGTATTCTTTATGGAGATGCATCATTCCGTATGTGATGGGACGGACGGAGATGCTAGATGCGATATCAAGTGCGGCCACAGTCGTTTACGAAATGGAGATAAAAATAATGAAATAAAATGAAAAAAAAAATAAAGAATGAAGCTTACGTAAATTGTGTGTATGTGTGCTCAACAAAAGCTCAGCATTTCGTCGGCATAGACTCGCTTTATTATGGGGAATTCGCAATTATTCCCTATCGTCTTTGTCACGGTAAAACTTCTCGCATTCACAATATAGGTATGTGTGTGTGTTCGAGGTAACTCATGTACATTATCATGCAGCTGAGTTAAAATTAGAAAATTATTGTTGAGATATACATTTTCAAGATAATAATAAAATAATCGTTTTATTATTCGGAACAGTATTTGTAGAGTAGAAGAAAATCTAAATAATATTTTCTTCTATTCTTGTAATATTTGTTGAAATAACATCAAATGATGATATAATTTATAACGAATGGAATTTACTACCAGGTAGCAACGAATATATTTTGTTAACCTTAAAATTACCTATAGTTTTTCTTAGTGGCTAGTTATATACTACTTTCGATATTTTATACTCTGAATGTACTTATTTTATTATTAAATATTATCAATTTTCTATTAACAATTGCATGTAGAATCTGATTGAACATATTAACTGTAAATCTATACATAGAATTTACTTCTTCCGTGGTCCCATATTCTGTTCGACGCTTTTCTGGAGATATTTTCGGAATTTTAAGAAATAAAGTTATTATCACAATGAAATTGACGAGTCGAAACAACGCAATTACTTGTCAGTTTGAAATGATTTGATCTGCATTTGTCAAGATACTCCTTTTTAATAGTAATACATTTTCTTCCTAGAAATATCACACAACAGAAAATTCAGTACAAAATAAATTATATGAGTTGTACGAAATGCAAGTTATTAGCGAAATGTCAAATAATATTAAATTTAAAAAGTTGCTGACTCAAGTAAAATATTAATTATTATATTATTTGGTGGTTGAGTAGTTTCTGATGAGAAAGTTACCGAATTAAGGATGACGGATACGAGAATCGCTTCCTGCAGCGCATATTGATTTAACTTTCGGCTCTTCGACTCTTAATTGAAAATATTCGCCGTTTTTGCCCGTTAGTACGTACATGCATACATACATGCGTACAATAATTGCGGATCGGATCGGATCCGATCAGTATGTTTGGGGCTCTCTCGTATTTCTGTCACGATTCTAGTGTCGCTTTATCGGATCGAAGTATGCCGTTTTAATTGTATTGTTAAAAGGATTATTATTATTGCCGGGCTGCCCGTTTTTCAACCTTCGTTCTCTTCATCATCATCATCTCGTTGTCGTCGTTGTGGTCGTCATCGCCTTCATCATCAAGCATCCAGCAGATTTTTCGATAAGAGACAAAAGTTCTGGGAATCGCTGTTATGATAGGATTAATGCAACAACCATCAACCATATCGACGTCGGCCAGAGAAGTTCGAGAATGATTGGTGTTTTGCGGTCCGGCGGGAATGCGCGTTGCGGCGCGGCGCGGTCTGCACTCGGATTTCGTTATTCCGAAGATCGGGCATAAATCGACCCGCGCTGACAATAAACGTTGGAAGTAAATAACAATTAATTCATGTAATTAGTAGTCTCGGCTCGAGCCGGTGGTTGGATTTACGCGTGTGCCGCCATCGGATTCAATACCAAATTTGAGAAAGACTGGTTTAGCAATTCCGATGGAAAATCGCCAGACAGCCTGGCTTTTAGTTGCCTATTATAGTATTATTGCGAGTACGGCAGCTGGTCTAAGCCAAATGGGGAAGGAACGTTGGGAAACGACCAGCGAGGAAAAGGAGAAGAAGTTGGAGGAGAAGAGTAAAAAAAAGCGAACCGAAAGGAAACGGAGCGAGGCGCTGTGGCTGCATCAGAAGAGGACGAGGAAGGAGAAGAGGAACGCCACACGCACACACACGCATCACGGCGTACCGAGGTGGATGGAGCGGAGGCGAAGAAAAAAAACGTACCATCATCCATCGCCGGAGGAATCGAAATGCTTACGCTACCATGGAAATTCCTCCTCCAGGTCCACACTCCCCGGGACCTTTACCACTACTTCTTTTATTCCTACCACAAAGGCTGCTGCTTCGGCCATCGCCAATAGATCGTTCTTAATAATTCCCTCTCTATCAGTATTGTCTTCGACATCATCTCTTGCTCTTTTCCTTTCATCTCTTCTGGTGTCTTTTATAACACACACTTGGCGATTTCTCAATTTTTGCATTTCCTCACATATCCACCATTTTGCGTAAATCCCAACGAAATGTTCGTCATTTTATTGTGATTCGCGCTGCCGCCCCTATCCAAATAGAGCGTATTTTAATTCAATTAGGTAATCGAGCTTGGAATGTCACGTCGCGTTTCGCGGAAGATCTTCGAGTTCCTCGCATTTTAAAGCGCATTAATACTGCTGATTCTCGATATTTGCCGGAACTTAAAATCACTATTTAAACTCAATTCTTTGGATTTCAATTCCTTTAATACCATTTAACAGTTGACTTGTGTTTTTTCTTAGAACTTACAGTAATGTAGTTCATCTTATTACTTAACTGATTTTTATCGAACATGATTTTGGGAACATAGTCCTATGAAATATAAAATAAAATATGTCAATAAATCTGATCTAATGATACACCATATGTGTGATTTATAACAGGGTTGTCATGAAGCTCATCTTCCAATTTATATTTGAACGCCGCTTTTTTACAATGAAATGAAAGCTTGCCTGCGTTAACTTTTTAGCACCCGGATCCAATTAATTTATCTTGAAAATTTTGCTTGAAAAAGTAGATGTTGTCCGTAGCTTTACCAGTAGTTTAGAATGTGCTCTAGGTATACACAAAGATTGAGAATTGCTTATTGAGAATTGCTTATATAAAAATAAAAAATGGAAAACTTCTTTCTAAATATATATGTATGTAAAACTAATATTGTGTTTTTTTGTTGTTCCAGGATGAAAATATGTCGGGTGGTGAGTCTTCGGATAGCAGCGAAGGCGAGATGATATGTGGCGATATAGAGCCGGACTTCCGGATACCCACGACGACGTCGCCAATTTTGAACAGACAATCGACGTCGGCTGCCTCTAGCCAAAGCAAAATAGACGCCTCTACGACACTATCTTCCTCGTCCCACAAACCCGCCGCATCCGCTACATCATCGTCTTCCTCCGCTTCCACTTCATCATTATCGACAACATCAACCTCGATATCAACAGCATCATCTACGACGTCCAACAACAGCAGCACATCCCAGATCATATCTCCGGTTCTGTACCAGACGCCGCAAGGCATGGTTTATGCCACCCCATCGAACGGAGGTGTCATCTTCAGTTTGGCCCCCCAGGGTACCGACCCGTCCGCTCTGGGCCAGTTCCTCACGATCCCTCTTTCCGTTATGCCCACTAACGGGCAAGGCGAACTGGACTTGTCTGCCAAGAGGAAGTGAGAGACCATGCATGCAGATCGGCACGTGCCCCTCTTCCGTTCCGCTTCCTTTTCCGGTTCACAACAACAACAGCCACGAAGACGTGCGCGCGCTCAAATCACGGCGCGATGGGTTTCCTCTCTTCCTTCCTTCATACCCAAATAGTCATAACTTTCAGAAGAATAAAAAAAAAACGAATCACAAGCAAATACGAAGCGAAATTGGGTCAAAACGCCTCCGTATCGGTTTATTCTTTTTTGCTTTCATCCCGCACGATTTTTCACGTGAGGTAACTCGGTACTTGGCTACGACTCAAATATTTGCACATCCCGTAAATTTTCGCTTTAATTGTCAGATATTATTTACAATTGTGCCCAACGCACTGACCGCAAAAATGTTTCTAATCCAACAGTCTTTTTCAATCTCTAAGGAAAAGCAACTTCAGTTACGAAACTTTCGAACTCTCAAAAAAAAAATATCTATATAAAAAAAATGTAATTATTGAAAGAGATTCCAATCATTTCCAATAATTTGCAGTTGAATTAACTTATGGAGTTGCATTTAAACGTAAAGACATTATAAAAAAAACACGGCCATAATAATTATTCCTCCGTGTTTGTTCTTTTTTTTGTTCGTGTTTAAACGAGGAAATTACATCGGTTTTGTGTAGAAGGAAGTTAACAGCAGACGGGCGTCGAAATTAGGCTTATTTTTAGCTTCCTTATTTATAAAACTGAAAGCGGTTTCTTCCATATGGAAAATTCAGCTCGAGCGCACTCTCGACGAAAAAAGGATAAACGGCAATTTGCGCAAACTCAATTCATTTAATACGTATCATCGGTGTTACGAAAAAAGGCAACGTTCATTAAAGCGAATTAAGTAATAATTGATATTACATAAAAAGTTTTATTTTTTTTAATCAAACATTAATTGCTTTCAATGAAAAGAAAAATATTATGTATTTTACAATTAATTTGTAAATTATTAAAATATGGGTAAAAATTGATAAAGTGAATGTTGATTGAAATGAATAATAATTAAGAATGCAGATGAAATTAAAGACGCTAAGAATTTGAAATAATTAAATTGACGAGAGTTTGTGCAAATTGCTTGCTTTAGTTGCAAAAGTAGAATGTTTATAGAAATATTTTTTACTTTTTAAAATATTCACAAAAAGAAATAAATATAGAGTGGCGCAAAATGCAAATTTTTTAAGACATTAGAAAATTGAACATTTCTTTGCAACTACAACTACTCCCTCATTCTAGATTTCCTTTACCTCTTTCATTTCAGAAAGGTATTTTGGGCCCGCGTAAATAATTCTAGTTTTAGAAATTATATTATTGTCCTAATAATTTAAAAATAGAAGAGACGCGCGCGCGGGTCCGAGGCCTCTCCCAGAAGCCACGCCACTCCAACATACATACATACACATACGATCAGTTATTATTCTAAGCGCATTCGTTTTATTTTTCAAATCATCATTCTTGCGTTCCACCATCTTCCCCCAAGGACCAACATATGAAACATTTCTAATATTTTATATTTATATCGTTTGTTTTCGAATTTATTTTGTAAAATAAAAGCACACACTACACGTACGCAGGTTATAGGACATGGACAATAAGTACTTAAAAAACATAAATTCCCCAACTTTTTTTAAATGTTTACTTAATAAGAAAATCGATTAATTTGAATGAGTAGACTGAATTTTCGATTCTAATCTAGTCATCTTAAAACGAAACACCTCCCCCATTTCAAACCCGACACTTCGATCCAAATTTCCCAATAATAAGCAATGAATTTATTAAATAAAATAAATACATTATTGAAGCTTCATAGTCTGTAAGAATTTAGTAATATCTATACTCTGTAGCTCTTAAATTGTAAAACCGAAATGTGCCTTTTTTCCTTTTTATTCATATTTATATTAAATGTATTTATGTATTTTTTTGGTTATTAAATTTCTTCGAAAGTGAAGAAAGCATATCTTAAAACTGCCAAAACACCCTTTAATTAGTTTATTATAATTATTATAAAACCTTATTATATTTTTTTTCGTGTATTTTATTTTTTATTGTTTAGCTCAAAATTGATTGTACATAAATGATAAAGATAATAAAGATACGTTTGTAAAACGAAGAATTAATTGGTTTGTTTCAATTTATACAATTTGATATATATATTTTTTCTTTCAGGATTGATGGAAATTCGATGATCATTTGCTTGTAGACCATTTTACTCTAAGTCTATGTGCGATTTGACTATGTTAGATGCTATGTGTGTACGTTTTGGTCGGCCGTTTTTCTTAAACCCGACGCCGGCTAAAACACGAATGTGTTTATTTTTACTTGCTACTAAAATAGTCAAACGTCTGCTCTAGCCTTAAATACATTTGGAATTATAACTATATACACTACAGAACATACACTAACACACATACAAACTTGAAACGGGCTTTTCTCCAAATCGCGTTCACCAAACTATATTATTCTTTTCTGGCTCATTTTCATTACGGCATCTTACTACATACAGCAATTTTGGAACGAACAGTGTTTTGATAATATTGAAATATCTCCTTTTTCTTATGAAGGTTACAAATAAATTACATTATCTTTAATGTATAAATAATTCAACTATTTTTAATAATAATATTTATTGTAACAATAAATAACAAAAAAAAACTCAATAGAATAGTAAAAATACAAGTCAACTTGTGCAATTTTATAATATTTTATATAAAATTAAAATTACTGTTGGGTAGTACACTATTTGAAAAGTACTTAACACTTTAGTACTTTTAACTGTCAGTACTTCAAACGTATCATATTAATACGTTTAATCATTAATTCTTTTAATATTAATAATAAAAATGAAATTGGATATGGGGTTTTGCTGTATATACAATGGTGTGTCCAATTTGCTGCTAATCATTGCTACAATGTATTTATGTATTTATTTTGATAAGAAAATGATTATTTAACTTTGAGTGTCTTCGGATTTTATGCTCAATTTGAAGTCAAAATGTTAACTTAATTGTCTTAATAATATAATAATATGTTTACCGTATCTGATAACGCAACGTGAAACATTATATAACATATATATAATAAATGCATATAATAACTGTTAGTCAAAAGAAGAAATAATAATTTACTAAAATAGACAATTTCTATGTTTTAAAATAAAATCAATGTTACAAAATATAAGAAAACTTAATAATTTGTTTTAAAGATTGCTGAAAGACTGGTAAGTATATTTTTTTGTGTGAATGCCACAAATATATATTATGAAAAATCAAATAACTATTTTTAGCAATTGAAATATTTTATAATGAAATATAAAAATGTAATATAAAAGTCAAATTTATTGCATATTGTCTCAAATATATCCATTACTCTTATATATATATTTTGTTGAAACAAAACATGCGCGAAACACTGATACAATTATCGAAGAATTTTTTGCGGTCCACGAAGCCACGTGCAGTTTATGCATATTACTAATATAGAATATCAATCGAGAAATTGTTTATTCCGAGAATAACTTTTGGCTTACTCATTAAGCGATCAGAAATAGTAAAGGATCAAGACCAACCTAGAACCTAAGCGCACTATGTCTAAAATCACCAAGTTCAAAAACCTCTCATTACCAGAATTAGAATTACTGTGCAATGTGTGCTAAAGAGGAAATTGCTTTTAACATGCTGAACAATTAAAAAAATAATTTAATAATTTTAATTATTATTTTCCACGAGTCAATTTTCTGAGACTCGTTTAAATTTATTTCTTCGTTATTCCGTTCTGAATATCATTTTCTATTATGTAGTTTCGAAGCGTCCGATGAGATCGGAACTGGGGAATTACGAATCATATTGAATGCTAAAAGGTTTCTTTAAAAGGCACTTAGCATTCACGCTGCTTCGCACAATTTAATAACACATACACACATACAATTGTATATATATAGTTTATATATATATATATGTATACACAAGACTGATTCATTAGATGGTGCTATTAAAATTTATGGTCGCATTTTCGACATTGCAATGACGGAAATGACGCCGCCCCAGAGCAAACCACACGCAGCGTGTCCCAGCTGCACGCCTCTCGCGGGATCATTCAGAACTAGAACCAAACCTAGGTTGTCCGATTAATACTGAAGCGTGCAATAGTTTTAAAAGGTTTTCTAATATGTTTTCCACTCGATAATCACAGAACAATAATCCGCGGAATGAATTAATGTAAGTTTTGACTGGTAGCGAGGAAGGAAAATGCCATGCGATTTCCAATTCACGGAGCGCGCAATTCACATAGTTCCAAATTTAGAAGGCGACTTTTATGGTTCAAATATAGAATATTTATTTTTACACATTGCCCAGCTTCAGGCCGACTACTACTAGGCTACATACTCAATAAACTGCGACGACGCCGACGCTTCCCGAAATTACATAAAGTTTTATTTGAGTCCTCGTTCTCCTCTGGCCCCGTCTTCTGCGCGATCAGGAAAAAGAGTTATTTAGGTTGGCGAATTCCTTCCTCGGCGGCATTAATTTATTTTTTCCCCTTGAGAGTTTCTGCGAACAAAAAACAAAACAATACGAACAAAAACAAAAGGACGCTCAGAATGAAAGAAAGAAGAAAGAATAAAACGATCGGCAAAACGTACAACTATTACTTACTATCCGTTCTGCAAAGTCGAAAAGGTCGCCGACGCTGCATCGCATACAGGTGTTATCTAATTGTTTATGCGAGTTGCATTGAGAGAAAAATAGGCGAATTTCTAAATAAGAACGCGAAATGACAATAAACACAAGGTAAAAGAACGGCTCGTTCTTCTTCTTCTTCATTGTCGTCGTGGTTGTTTTATTTTTTTTCTTATTTGCGAAAACCTCACCAGCAGCAACGAGCAGCGAATTCCGAAACCTACATAGCATAGCTCGAAGACGTCTCGGCCACCTCAATTATTCGCCCGATTGCCTCGGTCCATATTTTCTCGGCTGCAGCACGCGGCTTCTTTTCGATTTGTGCAATTTTCACTTCAATGAATGAACTTATCAAATGCTTCTACACTTATTCAAACACAATTTCAAAATTTTATTTCAATAGATTATCACAGATTGACAGAATAATAATTTGTTTAAATTCGGATATTGCATATTACAATATAAAGTGTATTATTAAAAACTGTACAGAATATCTACGCAATTTGCCAATTATGCACTTTAATGAAACCTCGAATAACGACAAAATGTATGAAAATAAAATTGTATTAATTAAAACCTTTTTATTTTAATAATAATAATAGTTATTGAAACAGAAAAATACAAAATAAACAACTCAATACAATAATATAAATAACATAAATAAAATAAACAGGTCTTTCTGCTCGGTTTTTATTGTATTAATACAAAATTATGTTTTCGGAAATGATCTTCTACATAATATAAAGTGCCTTGATCATAGTTTTAGGTATTCTACAGAAGTCACACTGAATTATAGATTATACACTTTCTAAGATAATATTTACATTATTTATTATTAACAGCAATATTCTGCCACAAATGCAAGTATAAACACAATATTTTTCTAAATGGTTTCCTTCTAACACTAGTACAGAATTGCGTCCATAACATGGTACATATGCACACAATACGCTAATAGGCGTAACTTGACATTGTTCTGTTCTATTATCAAAAATTTAATCATAAATGTTTAGTGCTTTTTTTATCAATAATAAGTTAAAAGTCACAGTTTATATTATATTATTAACATGATTTTCATTAAAAAATAGTCAAACACATAATTTATGAATATATTTACTAAATTTACTACGAATGTAACTATAGTATAATATGTGTGATACCTGAATAATATATTTACTGATAGAATTGGAAATA